AAAAATTTCTCCATCCCTCTATGGGGCGGCGCAAATGTTCTTTGCACGCGGGCGGCCGGTACCCTAGGATCGGCCCTGGTGATTTATCAATTTTTCAATTTTTCTGAGTGTCTTTTTACATAGAATCCGGCTCCAAATCTCAGAATAATTTAGTGTATGGAGTTGGGGGATCCCAAATCGTGCTAAATAGATTCTGCTGACGTTTACGTTGTGAGTTGTGCGTCGCGTACTATGCTAACAAACCGCACCTTTAAGGTAGCTACCTTATGATTTAGATTTTGGAAAACTTTGAAAGGTCAGTACTTTTTTTCTATTAGAGATAGAACGTTGAAATTTGCAGCGATTCTTATTCCAGTAGAGGACAACAATTTCTAAAAATTTCAGTTCATTTGGACTTATAGAAACTGTGTTGTCATCCATGTCATTAACAACTAATGGTCGATATACATAACTGAACACAAGACATATTTCTTTATCAAAAGTAACAGAAAAAACTGCAACACTCATGACACTCAGCAATTCTCCTTGTTGAGCAAATAAATAAAAATGAAAACTCTCTAAATGAAAACACGGAATTTATCCGCACTACGTCACCAATTGAATTTTAAGAGAGAGATACCTACCTTTGAGACAGATCAACATCAAGAATATTTAGTTAATAACAGTTTACCGATTATGACTATCCTTTAGTTTTTTATAGCGTAGTAAAGGATGCAAATAGACTGCGATGGAGGGGCCAGACTGAGCCAGAAAAATTTAGGGGGGGCACTTGTTTTTATTTTACTGCTTTTCTTGTTTGGAATAAAAAATAAGAAGTACCTGTCGACACTAATATGTTTGGGGGAATCCCAGGAGAGCGAAAGTAGCATCGCGGTTACCTGTGCCCAAGAACACTCAACCTAATAGAACTGCTTATTGAGCTGAAAATGTCTGCCATTTCAACCGAAGACCTCAACACTTGGCGTAAAATGCATTACCCGCGGGTTTAAAACAGTCAAAGGTCATGGTCGAAAAAACAATTTCCCAATCGTTAAAATGTTGTTAAAATCACCTTTTCTGCACAACCTGAATCGCAAGCATCCCATGGAGGCCTGCGGCTGACGTCATCATTATAAGCTCTTCTGCTGCTAATTAGTAGTGACGTCACTCGCAGGCCCTGTCGACTCGAGAATTGGCGAACGTACGCCTTACGAGGATGAGCGATCCTGTTAGTTTACGATTCTTGGCCTGTGCTCACCGAATACCGAATTAACCAGCAGAGTGCTGCTGATGTTCCATTGCATTATTGCCGACATGAGAGCAAGTTTTCAGGGGGGACAGCTAAATTTCAGTGGGGGCCGCGGCCTCCTCTGCCCTCCCCCCCCCTGGCGTCGCCACTGCTGCGATGTACTGAAAGTATCGCTTCGTAGTACGATAATTCCTGGCATTTATGTTTTGAAGTAACGCTTGCATCCTCGCATTTTTATTGAATTAAGAGATTCTGACGTCATAGTCTGTGTCCGTGTTTTTGAAGTAGTTTGAAAATCATTTTATTTTCAAAAATAGACGTTTTTTCTTAGAATCTTGGAATTAACCGAACTCTTTGTAGGTTAATTCCAAGATTGTTTTAAGAGGGGTAGGTTGTCTGATAACTTTTATGACGTCATCTGAGCTGCCTCAACATAATGGAAATCTCCATGAGGCACCCCAGATGATGTCATCAAGTTACCCATTACCAGACAACCTCTTAACTTCAGGAACCTTGGGTTTATTCTTTATGAGCTAAAAAATGACACTGTTGGCAGTTCAAAACTAATCTCGTGGGCCCAATGAACTATAGCTATAAACTGGAATGCGCACACATTGCCATATCTGCCAAAAAAATGAAGCCATGAAAGACAGATGCCACAAGGGGGAATGTTGTTTTTTTCTGTTGCTCGCTGACATGTGACGTTTTCGAAAGTGTTGTCATATTTCCCTTCACAGGTTTCATCAATTGGAATACGTGTTGGAAGCAATTTTCGCCATTTAACATAATGAGTGCGACAAAAACAGGTATCCCCTCCGCAGCAGCCGCACTAGGCTTCAAGTTCGTCCTTAGGTGTTAGCATTCCAGTTTTTGATTATAGTTCAATGCGTGGGCCTGTCATCTTTTTGCTCGCCAAGGCGATTTTCAGCCTGGAATGATTATTAATTGGTTATAACCAATGCATTTCCGCTGTCGCGTTTTTTACCAAAGTAGGGGAAGTTATGACGTCACAGATCAGCTGATTTGCTTTTGGTATTTACCACTTATAACCGATTATAACCCAGCTTTGGACTTGGGTTAATCTTTTCGCTGTGTCTAGAATCCCGGTACCGGTAACACTTTTTTTACCGGTAGTTTTGATGCCGTCACCTATATGACGAACTAGGTACCCGGGATTCAAGCAAATCCCGGTAAAAAATGTAATCGTTGGCGGTTTTTGTTTTATCAAAGTCCAACTTAACCTAACTTTTCATGTTTTTAACTTGTTTTGTTGATGTGTGAACGTAGAGTGGAGTGTTTTCGTGAGTTTATCAACGTGAAATTGAAATTACTTTTGAAATGGTTTTTAATGTAGGACAAACATTTAAAAGTTATAAAGAAGTTGAAGAGACTTTGACACAGCGTTGCCAACTTAGCGGATTTCCCGTCATATCTAACGGATTTTGGTGGAGGGAAACGGAAAACAAACAGTTTCAACGGATGACGGATTTTTTAACGGGAACAAAGTTTCCGTTTAAAAATTCTAAATTATGTTCTGTAAATGTAATAAACTGGTTGTTTAGCGATTCAAGCTACTTTTGGTCTGTAAACAAGCCTTTACGGAAACGTTGATCCGACTAGCCCGATCAGTGATTACCAGCTGATATTATCTGTCTTTTTTCAATGGTGTTCATTGAAAAAAGATAAAATACAAACACCTGAGGCGTTTTCTCGCGTCCACTTTTTTAAAACTGGTTCAAAACTATTTTGAAACAGTACATTCTCGCGATAAACCCATGACATCACGTCAAAATTGGTTCAAATTGTTTCGAAATGCAATCTAATCCACATTTTCAAACCATTTTCTCACGCCGAGAAATTATGACGTCATGGTGACATTACTTAAATCAGTTTTGAAAAATGTTATGAAACATTTGAGACGCAAGAAAATGCCTCCGGTGATCGGGTGAAACGGATCAGTGTTTCTAAAAACGCCTAAAATCAAATGGCACTGCCGTCAATGTCGTTAACTCTGCATTATTTGGTTGGCACTACTGAATAAATTTTATTTGTTTAGCGCATTTCGCATGTTTCATTCTGACGGATTTTATTGACGGAAAAAAAAAGGTTTAACGGATTTTTGACGGAAATCTACAGCAAAGTTGACGGAATTAAAAAAAATACTGTTGGCAACACTGCTTTGACATGTGAAATGTGCCAGTTTGTGAAAAATACCCAAAATGTGGTACCTTTACCTTGCGTTCGATATTTTGCTCAAAGTGTAGAGCGAGCTGAGCGGAGCCGTAATCACGTGACCAGCGAGCGAACGGAGCAGTTGAACGCCGTATAAAAGTACCGGAAATTTTAATAAACGAACGCGAATGAGGCTGCACCGAGTACACTTTTTAAATAAACGAACGGTAAAGTCAAGCTCGGAGAACTCAGACCAAAATAACGAACGCACGGATTGTTCTGATTGTAAACTTATAAATAAAAAAAATGAGAGATATTTATTTTAATTTACATCCTAAACAGTAGTTATATATATTGCTTTAAGTAAATTAATAAATATCTATCAAAAATTATAAACTGCTATATAAAGTGACATCATTTCAAATTCGTTTAAATTCTCAGGGGTTTTCGGGAATAACAACCCTAGTTTACTATCATCCGATTGCAGATTACTTCTAATCTGGGATGAGTTGTTCGACATTTCCGAACGCAAATCATTTATATAAGGTATTTCGAACCTAAACTAACTTTTATAGTTTGAATTGTTTCAAAAAAGTGACGAAAACATTAATAAATTAACCTAAAATACCAATCAGCTGATAAATAACGATACAAACAAAATCAAAACCCGGGATTTACTTAAATCCCGGTACAAGTGCGTCATATCGATGACGTCATCAGAACTACCGGTAAAAAATGTGTTACCGGTACCGGGATTCTAGACACAGCTTATTGTTATTAATTTGGGGATTGGCATTGGTGTTTTGTGATTTTGGGATTTTGCAGTTGTGTTGTGGCCTGGCACAATGAAAGAAGTAGGTATATATACACTCACTGCAACTCACATGTTTAGATCGAAGTTTAGATAATCCCCAAAGAAACTCTCTTCGATAAACGAAACTAACGAGAGATTCCGCTCCATTTTTTGTACCTAAACAAGAAACCATTGATGAAACGAAAAAACAAATAAGAATAATAAGCATAACCCTACCTATACTGCTAAACCAAATTATTTCAGCGGTCAGTTCCTTGGGTTATGATTCTTGAATACTGGGGGGCTATGACGTCACACTTGGCTGTCAAAGTTGTCAACCAAAAGAATAACCACGGTATTTGTATTAACCGATAAATAATCATTCCAGGCTGAAAATTACCTAATTAATTTGTTTTTGGAAAATGTGAGTGGGAATTTTTGAGATTTGGCAACGTTGTTCCTATTTGAAAATGGCAATTTTTAGAGCTGACAACATTGCATTTGGCTTTATTTTTTTTAAATAATCTTTTTTGATTTCTTATTGTCAATTTGTTCGGTTTCAATAATTATTTCAAGTATAATTTATTTGTTTTGAGGATTAAACAATATTAGGATTTGAATTTTCTATGATTTTTAGAGAAAAATTAATTTTCTAATATAGTGGCGCCATCTATACGACAGAACGTCAAGTACGAGCGATTAATGACATGCTTCATTTCATTTTTTCTCAAATTTTATACGTGCTAAATAAAGACAGATATAACACCACTAACTTATTATTTCTGTTGTGTCAAAGAAGTGTCAAAGCGACAACAGTAAACAACAATCAGCTGTTGTTGTGATTGTTGTGCAAAGTTTATTTGTTTGTTGTTTAATAATATTCAATTCAAAATATTAAAAATGTTCTAAAAACATCATCATGTTGAATTCAAATTGCAAAATCCTCCTCCTCTTAACAGTGACAATCGTCAATTGCGAACCCCCAATCACTGTCAGCCCCAGTTGCGCCCCCTCGAACCCCCAAATCGAGAATGGGGACGTTATTTTAAACCAAAACCACCAAAAGCAAATCGCCACCGCCACCGTAACGTGTCACGAAAATTATACTTTAATTGGTCAGAATTTGGTTTTACTCCAGTGTGTCTCCAATCAGTGGAAGTTTGTTTACGGCCAGGAGTTTCCCAAGTGCGAGAGACGATGTCCACCACCACCGTTTTTAGGTAAAAAAAATCGGACTATATATCTATAAATAATTTAAGGTTGGTTTATTAACCTTCTGATAAACGGTTAGGTATGTAGGTAATCTCTCAGTCAGTTATCTAAACAACAGTAAATTTATCCTGCAGATTGTTACCAGTAAGTTTATCTGAAAATGAATAAACCGGGCCTTTGATTACTTTATCTTTCACTTTGCCCATTCAGTGAATTAAAATATAATATTTTCCATCAAAAGTTTGTATTCTCAACTACAAGCGCTGGCGCAAATTAACTGGCAGAAGATCTGATGATGTCATAAAACACCAGGCTAATAAGCAATCTGTTGTCTTGTAGTTTGTGATATCCTTGTGCAAGCTCTCAGACTAATATGTCAGACACTCAGATGTTAACTTAAACATAACCAAAGGTCTAGGTTGTTTGAAAGAGATAACTAGATTGCCTGATAACTTTGTGATGTCATCTGGGGTGCCTCAACATAATTCAAATTTCCATAAGGCACCCAAGAAGCGTTATCAAGTTACCTAGTACCAGACAACTTATTAACTTCAGGAATTGTGACCTTCTTGTTATTTAATTATGTGCAATCTGCTGCGATAAACTTCGTATCGGTTATCGGTATGCGAATTTAATGAATTTGTTTTAAAAATTTGTTTTTCCTGATTTTTTTTTTCGTATTTCAACAGTTATTATCTTAGTCAATGTAAAGACAAGCCCAACAAAGCAAAAAGCATAAAAATCGGTCCAACCATTCTCAAGTTATAAATGGTGTAACCAACACAATGTTGTTTTACATCATTTAATTTAATTTTTTCCATATAGAACATGGTGAAACTGGTTTAGAAAAACAATATGTGGACCTCTACAAGCCTTCCAACACTTACTCTGAAGGCACAATAGCTCGGTACACCTGCAAAGACGGCTACCAATTGGAACCAGCAACTGAAGCGTCTAGAATTTGCCAAAAAGGTTCTTGGACTGGAAAAAATTTATTTTGCAAAGCCTCTGATGAGATGAGCTATTGTACCAGGCCTCCAATGGTGGAAAACGGCTTTATGGAACCGTCTGAGTATGCGCCTATTTCGGTCGGGCAAGAAATTGTTTATCAGTGCTTGTCTGGGTATAGGATGGTGGGTTCTGAACGGATCCGGTGTTCTAATGATGGGGTTTGGGTGCCGGACGTGCCTTCTTGTCATAAGGAATCTGGTAAGTGAATTGATATGTAAATTTTTCTATGGAATTTAGGCCACAAAAAAATATCGTTGCAGCGATTACGATTGTTGCAATTTACAAAGAAATTTTCAATTTCAAATATGCCTTTTATTTTGAATTGTTGGAAGATTCATTTTCCCAAAATTTCAAATTTTTCTAGTAGAAAATAACAACATGAAGAATATTGGAAATCAACCTATAATAACTGAATTAATTAAAAATACAGTCTTACACATTTCAAAGTTTTCCTGGAAAACTAATTGAGGGAAAATTTTGAAACTTTTTGCATGTGAAGAGGAAGGTCAGAGGCTCATTTTCTCAAAATTTCAAATTTTTCTAGTGGAAAATAACAACATGAACAATCTTGGAAATCAACTTACAAAAACAGAAATAATTGTTAATACAGTCTCACACAATTCAAAGTTTTCCTGGAAAACTATTTAGGGAAACTTTTGAAACTTTTCACATGTGGAGAGGAAGGTCAGAGGCTCATTTTCCCAAAATTTCAAATTTTTCCAATAGAAAATAACAACATGAGGAATATTGGAAATCAACCTACAATAACTGAATTAATTAAAAATACAGTCTCACACAATTCAAAGTTTTCCTGGAAAACTAGTAGAAGGAAAATTTTGAAACTTTTTTGCATGTAAAGAGGAAGGTGTGAAGCTTATTTTCCCAAAATTTTAAATTTTTCTAGTGGAAAATAACAACATGGAGAATCTTGGAAATCAACTTACAATAACTGAAATAATTGTTAAAACAGTCTCACACAATTCAGTTTTCCTGGAAAACTATTTAGGGAAAATTTTGAAACTTTTCACATGTGGAGAGGAAGGTCAGAGGCTCATTTTCCCAAAATTTCAAATTTTTCCAATAGAAAATAACAACATGAGGAATATTGGAAATCAACCTACAATAACTGAATTAATTAAAAATACAGTCTCACACATTTGAAAGTTTTCCTGGAAAATTAGTAAAGGGAAAATTTTTGAAACTTTTTGCATGTGAAGAGGAATGTGAGAAGCTCATTTTTCCAAGATTTCAAATTTTGTCAGTGGAAAATAACAAATGAAGAATTTTGGAAATCAACTTACAAAAACAGAAATAAATGTTAATTCTCACACAATTCAAAGTTTCCTTGGAAAACTAATTAAGGGAAAATTTTGAAACTTTTTACATATGAAGAGGAAGGTAAGAAGCTCATTTTCCCAAAATTTCAAATTTTTCCAGTGGAAAACAACAACATGAAAAATCTTGGAAATCAGTCTACAAAAACTGAATTAGTTGAAATTGAAAATACAGTCTCACACATTTCAAAGTTTTCCTGGAAAACTAGTAAAGAGATATTTTTGAAACTTTTTGCATGTAAAGAGGAAGATGAGAAGCTTATTTTCCCAAAATTTTAAATTTTTCTAGTGGAAAATAACAACATGAAGAATCTTGGAAATCAACTTACAATAACTGAAATAATTGTTAAAACAGTCTCACACAATTCAAAGTTTTCCTGGAAAACTAATTGAGGGAAAATTTTGAAATTTTTTGCATGTGAAGGGGAAGGTCAGAGGCTCATTTTCTCAAAATTTCAAATTTTTCTAGTGGAAAATAACAACATGAACAATCTTGGAAATCAACTTACAAAAACAGAAAAGTCTCCCACAATTCAAAGTTTTCCTGGAAAACTATTTAGGGAAAATTTTGAAACTTTTTACATGTGGAGAGGAAGGACAGAAGCTCATTTTCCCAAAATTTCAAATTTTTCCAGTAGAAAATAACAACATGAGGAATATTGGAAATCAACCTACAATAACTGAACTAATCAAAATTACAGTCTCACACATTTTAAAGTTTTCCTGGAAAACTAGTAAAGGGAAAATTTTGAAACTTCTTGTATGTGAAGAGGAATGTTAGAAGTTCATTTTTCCAAGATTTCAAATTTTTCCAGTGGAAAATAACAACATGAAGAATCTTGGAAATCAACTTACAATCACTGAAATAATTATTAAAACAATCTCACACATTTCAAAGTTTTCCTGGAAAACTAGTAAAGGGAAAATTTTGAAAATTTTTGCATGTGAAGAGGAAGGTGAGAAGCCTATTTTCCCAAGATTTCAAATTTTTCCAGTGGAAAATAACAACATGAAGAATCTTGGAAATCAGCCTACAAAAACATTATTGTTTTGAATTTTTTTAAATTTGGACCTTTAAATCATGAAGTGTAATTTTGGGAGAATTTCTTTAATGAAAATGAATGTCCAATGTTCAACACAAAGCAGGATTTTTTTTTTTAAATTTCCATTTATTAGTGTTTTTTATAAAAAGAATGTGAACCTCAGTGATGTCATGACTTTACAATTTCCTTTAAATTCCTCACAAATTCCTTGAAATTTCCCAAATTCTCATAAATTCCGATGAGTTCCTTCAAATTCCCCATAAATTCTTCTAAATTCCCCACATTTTTAGTTAAGAATTACAAGTGGTTTGCCCCTTGGTTTTTATAATTTAACTGACCTTGTAGCTCTTACTGTTTCCAATATAGCAATAGTGGTATCACTTTAAATATACACCTTGTATATCAATCATCAACAGTTGTGATCCATTAAAATTTATTTTGAATAATGAAAAAGTTACTGAATGTTCCAGTTATAAACAACACCCTGTATTAAGACATTTTTAAAATAAAATCTAAATCATTCAGAATCAAAACTATCTACTCAAATCTAGGGTGGGGGGGCCAAAGGGCCCGGGCTTCCCCAAGGCTTCAGAGGAAAATAGAAAAATTATGAAGTAGACAAAAGCTCTAAGCTTCTTATTATGATAAAAAGCTTAAAGAATAGTGAGTCTGTGTATGTTTTTATAATTTTTTCTGCATGGCCCCCTTCAGACAAAATGGCTTTAGGAAGGTTTTACCCAGTATTGCCAACCGTACTATAATTATAGTATTTGTACACTGATCTCAAAAATAAATGGATAAACAAAGAACGCTTCTAATGCTGCTAATTTACGAGGTCATAATCTAAACAAAAACAACTGACTGGGACAGCTGTGAGCGTGCGCAGTAGATACATGTACTGTACGTGCACAAAATCTGGCCAATGAAAATGAAGGAATTTCAAAATTTAGAACAGTTGTTCGAAAGATAAGACACTGCGCAGGCGTTAGGCTGTTCCGTTGCACAACTGTTCGTAGAATATTGACCCCAAATTTTCGCACAAATTTTGCCAATGAAGCCGTATGATTGTTTATCCATTTATTTTTGAGATCAGTGTATTTGTACTATAATTGAATAGTTATGTACTATGTACTATCAAAGGTCATTATAGTACGCCTAAAATACTATAATTATGAATTATCAAATTATTTAGTTTTTTACTGGAAAATAGCCCTTATGTCTAGCCCCTTTTTTTCATTTTTTTTTTCAGCTGAATAGGCTCTGTCATTTTAGTATTGATATAGCATGTATTTTTTGACAGTTGACATTTTAAATGTCAACTGTTAAAAGTGTCAGTTTAGTATTTTTCTGGTGACTGGGTTTACACTGTCAATTGTCAATTTAATTGATTTTCCTGAGCGGGTCCTTTTTTTATACCAAAAAAGATGTTATCGAACACACCTCTATTTAATTTTGAAAATTATTTTTAATTTTGTTGTTTTTCGCGGGAAAAATTTGAAATTTTAGTGTGATGCGCCCCTGACTTTTCTTTTTTTCTCCAGAAAATGTCATAATTTTTCCTTGAATAGTTTTCCAGAAGAAAAATAAAATGTTAAGTGGTGCATTTATGTCTAATTTAGTTGATTTTCATTAATTTCCAACGGGGTTTTTTCCAATGCAAAAATTTGAAACTTTACTATGGATACGCCCCTGATTTTCTTCTTTTTTTCCAGAAAATGTCATAATTTTCCCCTGAATAGTTTTCCAGAAAAAAAATAAAATATTGGATGGTGCATTTATGCTTAATTTAGTTGATTTTCATTAATTTCTAATGGGGTTATTTTATTTTCCACTAAAAAAATTTGAAACTTTTCTATGATGCGCCCCTGATTTTCTTCTTTTTTTCCAGAAAATGCCATAATTATCCCCTGAATAGTTTTCCAGAAGAAAAATAAAATGTTGGATGATGCATTTATGCCTAATTTAGTTGATTTTCATTAATTTCCAATGAGGTTATTTTTCACTGAAAAAATTTAAAACTTTTTACTATGATACGCCCCTGATTTTCTTCTTTTTTTCCAGAAAATGTCATAATTTTCTCTTGAATAGTTTTCTAGAAAAAAAATAAAATGTTAGATGGTGCATTTATGCCTTATTTAGTTGATAGTCAATAATTTCCAATGGGAATATTTTCTACTGGAAAAATTTGAAATTTTATTATGATACGCCCCTGACTTTTCTCTTTTTCGCCAGAAAATGTCAAAATTTTTCGTTGAATAGTTTTCCAGAAAAAAAAATGAAATGTTAAATGGTGCATTTATGCCTAATTTAGTTGATTTTCATTAATTTCCAATAATGGGGTTATTTTCCACTGGAAAAATTTGAAATTTTACTATGATACGTCCCTGATTTTCTTCTTTTTTCCAGAAAATGTCATAATTTTCCCTTGAATAGTTTTCCAGAAAAAAAAAATAAAATGTTAGATGGTGCCTTTATGTCTAATTTAGTTGATATTCATTAATTTTCAATGGGGTTATTTTCTACTGGAAAAATTTGAAATTTTATTATGATACGCCCCTGATTTTATTGTTTTTTTCCAGAAAATTTCATAGTTTTCCTTTGAATAGTTTTCCAGAAAAAAAATAAAATATTAGATGGTGCATTCATTCTTAATTTAGTTGATTTTCATTAATTTCCAATAGGGTTATTTTCCTTTTGAAAAATTTGAAATTTTATTATAATACGCCCCTGACTTTCCTCATTTTTTCCAGAAAATGTCATAATTTTCCCTTGAATAATTTTCCAGAAAAAAATTAAATATTAGATGGTGCATTTTATCTAA